AATTGGTATTAGATGTCTGCATTTAGTCAAAAGAATCTCTGTACATCAATTTTTCAGAATACAGATTTCATTTTATCTTTAAATTTCATAAAACATCCCTGTACTCTGATAACAGAAGTGGAATGCTGCCTGCCTTGAGTCTGACCAGGTATGTTGTTTGTTTTAGCCCAAGAGAACTTGACACTTGTCTTCCTCTTTGCATGTATCTGGAGAGTCTTACTGCGCTCTGCCTGATTCTGTTTCAGTGTCTTTGGCAGCAGCTCAGAAATGGCTGAGACTGTGTGGCTGTTTGTGAAAAGTCATTTTAGCTCTATGTTTCTTCTTGAGTTTTTGGGGGGTTGGTTTGTGTTTGTTTGTTGTTTCTGGTTGGGTTTTAGTTAGGATTTGTTGGTTTTGGGGTTTTTTGGTTGGTTGGTTTTTCTGTGGAGGGTTAATGCCTGTATTTTGTTTCTCATTCTACAAAATGACTAGCATTAAGGATCTTGAATCTGATTTCCCAACAACTCACATTATGGAAACTGAACTTTTATGTGCTGGATAAACACAAGGAGTACCATAGATAACACAGTCACCTGAAACCTTCCCTCCATAATAATTTTGTGGTTTTGTGCAGGATTCGGAAGGCATGTAAGATCAGAAATTATGTTCTTTGTGTAAGGTGAAGTTCCAGAAATAGGGTTGTAAAAAGTATCAGCAGTTCTTTGCTGTTGTGAAACATCGTCTGTTTAATTTAGCTAAATAGTTTATAATTTATGTGATGTTTAAAGTCATCCAATGTCAATTCACTTCCAGAAGTACCCTTAGTACCACAACATCTACTGGACTAGATGTAATCTTCTGGATAGTTATGGACAAATGAACCACATAATATACTGCTGCAGTTATTTCTGGAAGTGAATTGACAACCTTCAACTACCATTAGATGCAGACCTAGCCACTGTAACCCATACATATGTAATATTCACCCTGGACTATTACAGTTCTCTCTAGGAGAGAACTTTATGCCTTACAGAAGTTCAAGGTTGGCCAGTGCAAATGCATCGTTTATTACAGACACTGCTGAGTGACTGATTTGATGCAGCCTCATTGCAGAGAGCAGAAGCCAGTATGTCACATTGTCTGACCTGCGCCTCACAAGCCTTACATGCCACCCAGTCAACCCTACACTGAACCTAATTATTTGTTCTTAGCTACAATGACCTTTCAGAAATCATAAGCCCTTGATTTGATTTGATTTGATTTGATTGATTTGAAGGGTATCATTCCTATTCTCAAAACCCCGTATAGGATTTAATTCTGATCCTATGTTACAGTTCAAGGTGAAATTCCATCAGGGGGATGTTCTGTCTGAGGACAAAGCTGTCACAGGGAATCACAGAACTTGCTATTGAATCAGCAAACACTGTTGTCAAAGCTAGCAATAAAATCCATCCCTCTACTCAAGTTTCTTACGAGTACACTAAAGTATTCATGCTTTTCAATAGATAAAAAATCCCAAGCCCAAGCCAAACAACAACAGAAAACACAAGTGCAAATCTGCTTCTTGATAGTAAGTACTGAAAAAGAGCATTTAGTCAGAGGGAATACCAGAGTGTTACTGTGCTGCAGTTTGGGTTACTGTACACACAGTGAGTTTCAGATTAGGGAATGACTGAGACTGGTGGTACTGATGTAATCCATTGGAACCTTTTCCTTATCCGTAATAAAAGATACACATTTTAATAATAATTCTAAACTGAACATTCAACGCGAGCTGTAGTAGGAAAGACTCCTCACGAAACGTTCAACCACAGATACTTTTCAAAGACTTTTGCACTACTGGCAAGAAGTTAGCTAGTGGTATCTCTACTCATGCTCAACGGATAAATTTGGCTCCCGTGAAGTATTTGGGCCCATTTAAAAAGTTAAAAATGGGCTTTTGAAATGCTCAAGAGCAAGAACGCACAGGATCATAATATGTGTTCAACGCATTCTAGGTCCATCAAGATAATAAATACACTTAAATTGGGGCGTGCCTTTTTTACTGAACAAATCACTTTTTTCTTAAGGTGATCCTCTGTATCATTACTTCTGATGCAATTTATTTTGGGGGGCTTTTAGAGAAAACATTATAGGGGGAGACAAGACTAAGGACTGGTTACAGCCTTGCACTAGAAAAAGTAGCTAGTTCTGTTGGCTTCAGCCTAGTACTTCAGTAGAGATAATTCTTTTGTCTACTACTGCAGCTAAGACAAAAGATGGTGTAAAAGTATGACATTAGTTTTCTTACTGTAACCATCTTTAAGAAATTGTAGTGAAGCTTTTTATGGTAAAGCCATTATATATACAAAACCACATTGTGAGTATTTTGATAAAAGCAAGGGGGAATGTGTGGAGAGGTAACATAAAAAATCCAACAAAACCCTCTACAGTTTTCAAAGATAATCACAGGTGGTTTGGATTTTTTAAACCTTCACTCTTCAGGAATAACTGTGAAAGTTTACTCTAATTAAAGGCATAATTTTGTCACATTAATCAAGTGTTGTGATTCTAAATAGCACACAGGCTTTTGAGAACTGAAGAGCTTGATTTTCTGGAAGTGGGGTGCATACTGAATAGCTTGAATACATTGAGATTTTTCTCAACATATATTTTAATTTTACTTGGTAAACATCTGTATCTGATTAGGACTAACAAAGATTAAATTAAAAGAGAAAAAAAACCCAAACCTACTGAGTTGAAGAATGCCCAGAAATTTAGTTTTAGGGGAATTGTAAGTCTTAGAACAAGAACCACTGTGCTGCACAAGCATAGCAAGTATCAAAAACCACACTGGGCAGCTTAGGTGTATTTATGATGAAAAGGAAATCAAGTCACACAGCTCAACAAATGTTTTGGTGTCAGGACTTAGCAGGAATCTGCCAGCCTTTTAATATTAACTCTATTAATTGTTCAGAGATTACTGGGTTTATACTTATTCAAACAAAGGGTTACAAAAGGTTATGCCTGAACAGATTCTTGGTCAAATGCTCTCAGATATCTTTATTCAAGCTCAGGAAGCCTTTTTTATTCTTAGAGTTATTTGCAAAGAGAAACAGTAAGTCAGGAGAACCTTTAGTTTCACATTTTCTCCTATACAACATTTCCAATGCTACAGTGGAACAATCACATAGGTCCTTCTGTGCCTCTGTATTCCACTGACTGTATTTTCCTCATACAATGCTATTCCCACAGAAAACACTCACAGCAGCAAGTATCAGAACGGGCTATGATATATAGAAAAAAAATTAATTTATTTCTTACTACATGCAAGTGAAATTATAATAGCATTTCATTTTTTTTGTTGATCTTTCCTACAAGTGGTATTGTTGCTGTCTTGACTAATTAGATTCTTAGCTAAGTTATTTAGAAAAATAGAGGTATTTAATTTATTTGCTATTATTCCTTCTAATTGTGTTTTTTTATTTGCCTGGCATTTTAAAACAATTACGTGACTAAGCCAAAGACACAAAAACGTGCCATGTATGTCAGGTTGCAGCTATGTAACAAGTTGCACAGACTAGGTGCAAAGTCAAAACATATTTTCTTTTTGTGGCTGAACTTTTTAAATGCTGACGAATATCAGCATACAATTGCCACCTGCAGGTTTTCATCTCTTCCAGACCTCAGTTTTCTACCTACAGAACCTATACCAGTTGTCCTTCCTTCCATTGTTTTCAAGACAATGAGGTTTAACATGCCACATTTATGCCTGTAAAAAAAATCACAGTGATCTAGTCTGTGCAGTTGTGTAAAAAGATAGCTGTTCTCGAGCAGCGAGCAAATACAGTCAATTGTCTGACCCTGTAAAATTCCTGATATATTTGCCAGACTCTGTGTATAAGAACTGTTAATCAACTCAGACTTATACTTCTGCTGTCAGCATAAGAGATGAGCTGTTCAGGGGACAAGGAATCCTTCGTTTCATTGAAAATAAATGTCCTGCAAAATCATCTGTGACTCAGCCAAAATGAAAACCGTAAGTATTGCTTTTATGACAGAAAAATCTTTCTCCAGAATTGAAATTTTGGCTTGTGTGTGATGATTTCTTCAGTGGGTTCTGGAAAACAGCAAAGCCCTTGCCTCAAAACATTCTGTATTTTCACCAGTCTGACATCTCAGTTACTGCCCCTGAGCATGCCAAGGACAGTCAGAAGGTTTTTACATCCAGCTGTCTTTACAGCAAAGGGCTGGCCTTTCCTTTTTTGACTATCAAACTGACTGACTTACACAATTTTACCTACTCTGCTTGGTGCCATCAAACCGTTCTTCGTACAGCCAAGTGGCATTTTGCATTTTGAAACAGGGTAAATGCTGATAAGGATGGCCACGGAATTGCCAAAAAGGTTTTTGTGTACATAAAGCAGGGCAGGTGCAGGCTGCAGTGAAGGGGAAACGTCTTTCCTTTCGGCTGTCCTCGGAGCTCTGGCTGGACGTGGGTCCTGGGCCCAGCCGGGAGCCCACGAGCCGCTTTTCTGGCACAAGGCAATGGGTCTGTTCCCCCGCCTCGGTCATTCCTTATTTCTCCAAGGCATAACCATAAATTCCCGATGCACAGAGGGATGGGGCAGCCTAGTTAATGATTTGTCAGGCGTTGAGCCGAGTGCCAGGCCCGTCCGGCGGAATGCGGCCGGAGCCGCTGCACCGCCGGGAGCAGGAGGTCGCGGGTCAGGCCGAGGGCAGCGCCGGCTGCGGGACCCCCGCTCGGGGCAGGGGCTGAGGCACAGGCGGGCAGGGAGCGCTCGGCGGGGCTCCCGCTGCCCTCGGCGCCCCGGCCCCGCGGGGTCACACCGCGGCCTCGGGCCCCGGAGCCGCGCACCTGCCGGGCCCGCCTGGCTCCTCCGCCGGGCCTGCGGGGCGGCCGAAGGGCACGGCTCAGCCCCCGCCCGCCCCAAGCGCTGCCTCCCCGTCGCAGCGCAGAGCCGGCGGCCGCCCGCCCCCGCCGCCGCCCGCGCACGTGTGCCGGGGAAGGCGCTCGGTGCCGCCCGGGCGGCGCTTCCCCCCCGCTCCCCGTCGCCTCCCCCTCCTCCGCAGCGGGAGCGAGAGCAGCCTCCGCCCGGCGCGCCCGGCAGCGCCGGGGCCGCTCGCCGGCCGTGCCGCCCCGCCAGGACGTCGCCGCCGCCGATGGCCGCCCCGCTGCCCGGTGTGCCCGGCGCTGGGCGGGCGGCGGAGCCCGCTGGCGGCGGCCCCCGCGGCTCCCCCCGCCCGCCACCTCGGCCCCCCGGGGACAACCCGCCGCCCTTGCCCCCCGACAGGTAAGGCTAGAGCCCGGGCGGGCACCGCCGCCCCCCCGCTCCCCCGAGGGCCGCCCGTGCCGTCGGGGTTGGGCAGCGCCCCGCGGGCGGGACGCGGGGCTGGGGGGGCCGGGGAGCGGCGGCTCGGGGAGGGGGCGAAGCGCAGGAGGGGGCGGCCTGGCCAGAGATCGGCCCGCGCCTCCCTGGTGCACAAAAGTTGTTTCCCGGCCCTGCAGACACTTTCCTCCGCTGCGGATGCGTGTGTGTCCCCCCACCGCTTTTTTTTTTTTTTTCTTTTTTTCTCTTTTGAGGTTTCCCAGTTTGAGGTGAAAGGAGCCGGCGGTGCCGAGCCTGCCTTGTCAGGCTGAGCCAGCCGCTACTTTATCCTTGCAGTGCCTTTCTCAGAATATTCGTGAGATAAAACCGCTTCACCGTGAGCGATGCCGCTGCAATTGCTGTCAGCGGTGTGCACCCTGCTTGTTACCTCTCAGGCTGTTCTTAAAGGCATTGGTCTCTGTTCTTCGTAAAAGAAGGTGGGAGCTAGGGTTTTTCGTGAAACATCTGATGAGTTTTGGTAGACTGAAGTTTACAAAATCTTAAAACTGCATACAGGATTTTTTGCTCCTTCTAAAGCTAAATATCACTTTGGAAGCATCTTCATTCTGTATCATTACCCTACTCTGACGGTTTTCTGTACTTTGTACCAATTAGTATATGAAATCTGGAATGATAATAAAGAAGGCAATAAAGTAAAATGTTAAGCTTGGAACCATCAACTCACGTGTTGGCAGACACAAATACTTCAAGTGCTTTGGGTGCTCCTCTCCAAATGAAATCAAGTAGACAAAGTGCTGTTCAATATTTTATGTGAGAAAACGGTGCACTGTAATGTACACAGCAGTCTAAACAACCACGTTATTAATGTGATACTTTAAACCAGTGCATAACTGAGCTCTTCAGCAAGTACAGTAGTGATTATCTTCACTACTCTTGCAAATGCTTCTTGGTGGTACTTCTGACACAATCCTATTTAAGTAACCAGCAACAATTGAGATATTTATTTTATGATGGAGCTGTGGAGATTCAAGTACAAAAGTAACTGAAAACAGAAATGAATGTATTGCTTTGCCCTATTTTGTCTTGTCAGTCACTTTGACTCCTGATTCTGGTGAAAAAAAGTTTCCATTTGTTTAAAATACTGTTCCGATGTACTTGGGAAGTTTTACTGAGAAGTTACATGCATCCACTGTTGTAATATGTGTACACAGGGATTGGCATAAACACAGGGACAACAAAATATTTACTAATGTCCTTAGAAGCCAAAATAAATATATCTGTGTTCTTACTCTGCAAAGACTTACGCATATTCAGACAACTTTATATTCAGAGTTGAATACTTGGATTGCTTTCAAGTAGTGCTAGGCGCTGTATGTTAATATATTCAGCCTACTGATTAAGTAAAATAACTGCACAAAAAAAAGCTAATTGCTGCAACCAGGAAGTATGGTGGTATTAGTACCTTAGTGTTTCATGTATTGTGTTTGGACATTGCAATTTTAACAGTTGTTACAGTTATCACTTGATATTATGTATTCTGTTGCAATAGGAGAAAAAAGAAAGATGACAGTATTTTGGAGATCCCATCAATTCCAAATCCTTTTCCTGAGCTGTGTTGCTCGCCGTTTGCATCAGTTTTGTCAGCCAGTCTGTTGCCCAAGGCAACTTCAAGAAAAAAACAGGTAAGATGTATAAATTATTATTTGACAATTTGTAAAGTGTTTTAGTGAAAGTTTGAAGAAAAGCTTGGTTACCTATTAAGTTATTCTTCTATTAGAAGTGTTTCATATTTCTGTTAATTTGGTGAAATTTTCTCTGTAGGTCATTGATGATTGTAGAAAGTAAGGTTTTGGAATCTGTGACTTAAGACATGACTGTTCTTTCACAGAGTCTATGTGTGACTCTGCAGATTTTTCAGTTAAAGTGGAACCAGAGGCAGGCAGGCAGTACTTTATATCCTTAAATGGGGAGTTAATTTCTTTCTTCCCTTCCTCTCCGCCTCCAATTACTGTCATCGGTGTTATAGAACAGAGGGTTTTAACAGTCGCTGAACAGCTTGTCTGATGGTCTAATTTTGCTAGGATAATGGAGTAAAACCTGAATTGATGGGGAAGGAGCAAATGCTGTGTACCTGGCTATTTTTTTATAGCATCTGAATCTATCTCTGTATGTCTGATGTTACTATATTTCCATAAATACCTTAAACTGAATGCCAAGGGAAGATCTGAGTGGGTAGACAGACCTGGCAGTGCTCTGGCAATAGTGTTCACACACAGTGTATTTGTGAATACCCCTGAGCAGGGGTAGAGGAGGAAGAATTTCCAGTTAATGGAAATTATTGATGTTGAAGATCTGTTTCACTCTTTGAAAGCTTGCTTGTCTTATTTCTCTTTTCTCATCTTGAGACTGGAAAGAGTTCTGGCAAGGAACGTCTGTGGGATTAAGAGTACTATCTCCACATTCTCTTTTTTTGGTGGTCTGCAGTCTTAAACTTCAACTGCTATCTTAACAGTTTTAGGGATGATACTGGAGGTCTAAGAACTTATACTGCTGCTGGTTATTCGGGTTTTAGATTTACATAAAGAAATTGTCTGGAAGTTGAAGTTTCTTGTAGTTGTATTAACTTTTCTGAAGCTGACAAGTCATGGCTGTTTCTGTGCATGTGCTGGAGAACTTTGCTAACGAAGTTGTGGCACCTTAAGGAGGAGCTTTCTCCCCCGTGCTCCAGTGAAAAACATAGATGTGTCTGCTAAACTGCTGTAATTCTCTCTTGCCATTTTTTGTATGTTCTCTGAAAATAGCTATTGTGTCTTTCTGGACTACTTTTATTGCTTTTAGTTCTTTTCCTACAATAGAAATACTAATCTGAAGCATTTCTGGTCAGTGTGTATGTGAACATTGCTAAGGCAGTGGGGTAAAATTGTGCTAGTTTCATGCTAGGGCAGGGTGGAAGCATTGACTGTCTCTGCAGAGACAGGAAAAACACTGAATTGGTAGCATTATTTTTCAGAACAAAAGGACTAGAAGTCACATTTAAAAAAATAGTTTAAATTAGTCATGTTGCAGGCTTAAATTGCAGTCATTGTGGTAATCTTTGTACTTGAAATAGAAGGTAGATTTTCTAAGCAAGATTTAACACACAAAGGTCAACTATCTGCTTTTGTGGCCAGTCATGTTTAACAGTACTGACTGACTTGATCAGTTAAGCCATCTAAGTGTTAGCTTCAGTCTCTCAGAAGCTGAAGTTCATAGGTTCACTAACTGTACTTCTGCTTCTTCATAAAGGTTCTTGTCATACTTTTTGTGATGATTCCTGCTCACAGTCCTTCCATTTCTCCTGGTTTTCCATTTAGGAATGTAGTGTTTTCTCTGGTAAAAGCAGGATCAAGAACAACTGGTTTCCTGATGGAAGTGAGCTAACATAATGCTGGTGTCTGTGGAGGCCCTGACCCATTTTTCAGCTACCAGAAAAATGGAGAGAAGTCTTCCTGTTATTTTCCTGGAGGCATTTTAACAAGACCATGGCTTCTGTCAAAAAGCCTTTCACCTGGGTGTCTGTTTATGGCTACTGCAGGAGAAATGGTACTTGGCTAAGTAGACCATTTGTCACACTCAGCATGACTGTTCCTATGTTCTTCATCTCAAGTTATAAAAGGTTAAGGCCAAATAGCAACTGTCAGATTAAACTTCTACCTTTGAAATTCAGGTTGAAGTCTTCTAATAGGCTAATGAAATTACTCAGGTTTAAAAAAGAAAGAGAACGCTAAGCAGGTGTGTGAAGAGAAGTGAACTGGCTGTGATTTTGACTTCCCACAAGTGGCTGTGGAGACTGTACTTGAAAATGTTGCGTTTTCCACCCTGTGTTCTTATTTTGTCAACTTTGTAGCAGCGCTATGTGCAACTACATTATCCATATACAAAAATTTCATAGAATACAGCCTCCAAGGTCACGAATATTACTGTTACTGTTTGATAGTTTCCTAACTCTTAAGAGAAACCAGTTACTCTTAAGCATTTTTTTTGGTGTGTATAGTGTTGAAAGCTGCCAGAATTTTTTCTGTTGCCTCTCTGATGATCTACATATGTTTTCAGTGATTCTTTTTTAGATCGCTTGATTTTTTTTATTGTTTCTTTTTCTGCTGTGCTTTTAATTTCAAGCATGGTAAAGATAAATTGCAGAGTGAATTTCTACTTATGTCTTGTAGGTGTTTCTAAATCAAATTGTGTGTTTCTAAAAGAAAAAAAAAACTCTTCTGTCTTGCTTTTCTCTCCAGAAAAGATTTTCTACTTCTAGAGAAGAAAGAAGTTGTCACTAATATCTACTCTCTTATTCATAGCACCTGTTACATGTGAAATCTTTCTACTTCTAAATAGACTATTAATGTTATTTTGAATTCTTGTTTTTCTAAGCTGAAATTCTTACTGTCTTCTGATGATCTTTTATCATAAGCCTCTCAAAATGTTGAACATGCTGCTTGAACAGCATGTTTGCTGGGTTGACTCACTGAAAATAAGTTTATAAAAACAAATAGGTAAAAACCACTTAGCAGACCAGTGAGTTGCCTCTGTGCTTGGGAAGTAGGATGTCTGTGTCTCTGAACTGTGTTTGGTCTGCCTCATCAACACAGCTGCCCATCTCTTTCCCTCTTGCACTTTGGAAGAGTATTACATCTTAGAATCAAAGAATCATGGAGTCATTAAGTTTTGAAAAGACCTCCAAGATCATTGAGTTCAACCTTCGACTGAACACCACCACGCCCAAGTAATCCACAGCACTAAGGGCCACATCTAGCTGCTTCTTGAACAGTGCCGGGGTGGTGACTCCACCACCTTCCTGGGCAGCCTGTTCCAGTGCTTGACTCCCCTTTCACTGAAGAAGTTTGGAAAAGCTGGTAGCCCATGGCTTGGACAGGTGTGCTCTTCACTGGGTTAAGAACTGGCTGGATGACTGGGCCCAGAGTGTAGTGGTGAATGGTGCTGCATTCAGGTGGCATCTGGTCACTAGTGGTGTCCCCCAGGGATCAGTGTTGGGCCCAGTCCTGTGTAATATCTTTACTGATGATCTGAATGAGGGGATTGAGTGTACCATTAGCAGATTTGCAGGCAACACCAAGTTAGGTTGGTGTGTTGACCTGTAAGAAGGCCCTGCAGAGGGACTGGAGACAGGCTGGATCGATGGGCTGAGACCAACAGCATGAGGTTCAACATGACCAAGTGCCAAGTCCTACACTTTGGTCACGTTAATCCCATACAGCGCTTACAGGCAGGGGGAAGAATGTCTGGAAAGTGGCTCAGTGGAAAAGGATCTGGGGGTCCTGGTTGACAGCAGCTGAACGTGAGCCAACCTGTGCCCAGGTGGCCAAGAAGGCCAAAGGCATCCTGGCTTGTATCAAGAATAGTGTAGCCAGCAGGACCAGGGAAGTGATCATACCCCCCTGTACTCGGCACTGGTGAGGCCACACCTTGAGTCCTGTGTCCAGTTCTGGGCCCCTCACATTAAAACGACCTGGAGATACTGAAGGGTATCCAGTGAAGGACAAGACTCGTGAAAGGTCTAGAAAACATGTCATATGAGGAACAGCTGAGGAAGCCATGTTTGTTTAGTCTAGAGAAGAGGAGGCTCAGGAGGTACCTCAGGAAAGGAGGCTGTAGTGAGATGGGGGTAGGTCTCTTTGACTGTGCCTGCAGTGAGAGGACTAGAGGAAATGACCTTAAGCTGAGACAGGGGAGATTCAGATTAGATATTAGAAAAATCTTTTTCGCTGTTAGGGTGATCTGGCATTGCAATAGGTTGCCCAAGGAGGTGGTGGAGTCACCATCCCTGGAGGTGATTAAAAGGCTTCTGCATTTGCATCTGCGTGGTACAGTTTACTGGTTTAGGGGTCACAGTGGTAGTGATGGGTTGATGATTGGTCTTGATGATCTCTTCCAACCTTGAGAATTCTATAATCCTATGAAGCACGTTCAAATAAGCTGAATTTTATGTTTCAGGGTGGAAGACTTATCTGAACAGGCCAAACCCCCAGCTTTTCCATGTCCAACACAGTATGGTCAGCTTGGTGGATGGTGGGAAATGTTGCCTTCCTTTGGGGAATCAAGCATTTGCTGTTATTAGGTGGAGTTTGTGAACTTGTGTGAAAAATCTAATTGTGTCTCAGAGCCTGTGTTCTCTAAGAAGTGGCAAGGAACTGAAAATATAAAGCACTTTGTACTTTTGTCCCTAATTATGATCAAAAGAGATATTAGTTGGGAAAAATATTAACTGTAAGAAAACTTGTTCTGTTCTTTAGTATGCTTTTGGTTGTCTTTGGTCAAATGAACTAAGAGATTACTGTAGTTTTATGAAAGCTTAGTTTTTAAGGCTTTCTGAAAACAAAACCTGAATCATTTGCACTGCAGTGACAGTTCTTGCCCTGCTCAAGGATAAGCCAAAAAGTGTTTCATGACAAAAGTAGTTCAAGGTAATTAGTGCCTTGTTTCTTTAAATTAAATTAGAAGTGCAAAAATAAAACTCAAGTAAATCTCAAGGTGAAGAACACTCAAATCTTTGAAATTTTACCTTGCTGCTTTTGTCTTTTTCGATGTTCTAAACAGGTAGATATTTTATCATGTCGAATCGAAATATACTCCCACAATGTTCTTTCCAGGAAATCAGTTGTATAGGGACCTCAAATACACATGA